ACTGCTGTCGTGTCTTTGGATTCTTGCTGTGTTACTATTATAATATTCCATGTTCAAAAGAAAACAAAGTAACATTAAACTGGGATGTCTGGTACTTTCGCTCAGTAGAATAACATAACTTTGTGCTATGAATCATTGGTCCGAGCCAATAAAAACATAAACCTTGCTATGGATTAAATTAAAACCCATTTTAAATAAGACCACATGTTAACAGCTATAACGTTAACGTGCCATTATCAACAAGCTGATGTTTATGTGCTGTATATGGGAGGTTTCCAGTGTGCGAGTTAGTTATTTTTGTTGATTGTAGAGCGTGTCTGTGTCGTATCATTTCTGTGTGGCTGTCTTTCAGGATCTACGCTGAAATACTGTTTTTTTTTTTTTAACAAGGATCAGTCTGTATTTGGGATTGTCACATCGTTGTATGTTGTCATTACAATGTGATTGAGTTTTCAGACCATCCTCTTGTGTTTTACAAAATCCAATTTTATGCGATCTATCACTCCGCTGTCTTTCACTCTTTTCTCTCACTGTTTCTTCTCTCTTCTCACTCTTTGATGTGAGTGATAAATGAAGCTCTGCTGGGCCGCCCCTCCTCCTCGTATGTCAGTGGTGTTAGTCAACAGCATGTCTCTCACACCCTCTCCATGTCTCATTCATTCATACACACGTTAGTTGTTGTATTTTAGTTTATAGCTTTTCCTCTCTCTGTTCAATGGCATTTTCAGTTTTAAAGCAAATACTCTGCGGAGGCTGAAAGCTGTGCACTGCAGACTGGATGGTAAAGATTATGGCATCTCAAAAATTCTGTTTGATCTTTTTTCTATATTATTTTGTGCTTTTGAGGCTGTAGTTCCTAAACTTTGGAACGCTTTTCCCATGGACTTAAGATCTGTGGACATTTTTAGAAACATGCTGAAGACTCATCTGTTTACATCTGCTTTTGTTTTGTTTGATTATTATTATTTAGTTTTTGTGGTTTTTGTATTTTATTGCGAAACACTTTGTGACATCAAAGTGTGACATTTATATAAATAAGTTTTAATTATGTATTTTTCCACATCTTTGTTACATTTACTTGGCCAAATATATTTCGATTTTTCAAAATGTAATATAATATAATATAAACATATACATATATATAAACATTATAAACATATAAAATCTTATAT